CTATACAATCACTTGCTTTCCAATCTTGAATAAGCAAAAGAAGATTGTAGTTACAAAAAACCTTCCTATGGGATAAAGTCCACCAAGAAGCAATATGCTTTATATTCACACAAAAAAAAGTCAAGCGAGGTCGACTTATCTTCAAATAGATGGCTATTTCTTTCCTTCTAAATGTGCCAAAGGAGAGCCCAGGGCGCACAACTCCAAAGGACCGAAGCCTTACCCTTAAGCTTCACTCCACCGTAGCCTTCAGAAATAAAGTCTATCTTGCTAGGCATACACAAAGAAAGATCCAGAAGAGAAGTAATAAACCCCCAAGCTCTAGCAGCAAAAGGACATAGCAAAAAGAGGTGATCCACCGTTTCAATATCCCTCCTACACATGCTGCACACAGAGGGGGAAAGAGCCCAGTGAGGGAATTTTCTTTGAAGCTTGCCATCAGTGTTTAACCCTCTATAGAAAAGGGTCCAAAGGCAGAACTTAACTTTCTTAGGGATTTAAAATTCCAAATAAGATTTGTAGTTGTTGAATTCAGTCTAGGGTAGGGAGGCGTGAGGGCCATGAACACTAAATTCACGGAAAAGAGCCGAAACTGTCTGCCTTCCACCACAGCTTATCCCTGCTGGTCCCTTAGACCACCCTTTCAATATCTATGAAAGCCGCCCATCTAGTAACCTCCCTCTCAAAAGGATTCCTTCTAAAGCCCAAGTTCCTCATCGAGGCCGCTACTATCCAGCACTCAGCAATAGACATCCCCTTTTTAGAGGATAAAGCATACAGATCCGGGAAGGTGGTGGAGAGAGGGGATGAGTCTATCCAAGGTCCTGCCTAAATCTGACTGATTCACGTGAAGAAACTTTGAAAAAAGAAAGGTTTTGGAAGGAACTAATAGTTCCTTGAATATCTCTCCAAGGTCTTCTTATTGATGAGCCAATTGAAGGCTTGGTCCACCAACCTTGTTAGGATATATTTCTTGGACCTCATCGTATTAGTATTGTTGGAAGTTTTCAAGTTATCTTATTCACGAGGCATGTGGAGTAGTTTATATCCGTCCATTAGAGTGGGAAATTTGGATAGAAAGAAAAAGGAGGATTTTTAAAGAATTAAAAAAATGAGTATTTTCTGAAAGGCTTGGGATAAAATCCGTTTTGTATCATAGTTTTGGTCCTCTATTACTAAATAGTTTTTAACTCCATTTTGTACACTTTTCTGTTATTAAACCATTGCTCCTTATCCTCCTCCTCCCTTAAAAAAGTCATTTTCTTAACCATGACAAGTTGGAGAGCTTTATTTTAATGCCCTCTCCCCTCTTTTAATTTTTTAGGTTTTGGACTACTAGTAACCTTATTCACCATGTAACTTTCCCGTGAACACAATTGTTACGTATAATAAAAGGTGAAGATATTGAAGTGTCTACAGTTAAGTCCAGATGTTTACTTATGTTTTAAGTAAGAAAGAATCTCACTTAATTTTGTCTTCTTTTTGCTTGTTGGCTAATTTGGTGTAGATTGATTCTTATACTTGTAAATTTCTTTCCTTTTTTTCTTATCGAAAATCAGTGATTTCGAGGCGCACCCGGGCGCTCGCCTCAGGCGAGAGGCGAGGCGATTTCTCCCAGGTGCGCCTTGCA